AATTTCAATTCTATTTTTATGTGAAATTTTCACTCATTCATAACTTAGTAATACATTTTTTAAATGTGATATTTAATCTTACACCTTATTTGATTTACTTCTGCATATGACAAAAAAAGGTTCCTCTCAATCTGGTGGACGTGGAGAACTTACAAAGTATAAAAGCAAAGGTTAAAGAAGTTGGAAGTGAATTAAGAAAAAATGTGTGCAACAGGATTGACAAGTCTAGCAAATAAGACGATCTTCCAAACGAAAGATAAACTGAGCACACATCACTTTACCAATGTGTTGACCTAGAAGATGAAGATTACACACCGAGTGATGATGAGAATGCTGAATCAAATCATTGAAAGGTGTGTTGATAAAAACATTTCATTTCATTGGTAAGTTTAAAACATACAGATTAGGAGTAAAGAACAGGAGTTTAGCATCTTTATAACATACATAGTAATGTAGTATATCAATTATTAGAATTCCAAAAACTATAAATGATTCTACAAACTTGTATAAAATTGCAGAAGTATACAAAATCTGAGGAAAATGTTTTCAATAAAGTTTTTGTAGTGTTAATTCAATATGACATATATGATTCTGAAAATAACCAACCATTCATGAATGCATTTTTTGCTGCACTTTTGGCGGTTGAATACATATGTTTTCCTTATAGGTATCAATGAAGGGAAAAGGTCAACGTAAGAAGATAGAGGTTAACAGTAGTTCTTGGACATCGACCACTCAAACTTTGGTTAAGGTGAGTTCATAATAGGAAGTTGCAAGGGTTCTCAAGGATCAAGCCACAAGTGGCAGGAAGAAGTCTATTTATGATCCAAAGGCACAAAAAATCCCTCTAGGATTCATGGCCTTGTACTTGAAATAAAGAAAAGGCAAGAGTTGATGAATAAGAAAAAGAATGAAGCACCTTTTCTAGAAAATGAAGATTCTTCCAGTGAGAACGAGCATGAAAATGCTAATCATAACAACTCCATGAGCGGCGAAGAGGAAGCAAGCAAATCATCACCAGTGTGGCAAGTTGACAATCCTGAAGAACATGACGACGATGTAGACTCTTTTGACACTTCAGTGGATATGGAACACTGTAACTATGTATGTCATTTTCTTTCACGTAGGTGTGGAGTTTATCTATATTAATTATCATTTAAATGTTATTAGTTGCTGGAGAAAAGAAGCATAGAGGCCCAACAGTTATGACATCAGTTCTGAATGCCTCAGGGCAACCAATTGAGCCTACTCCCGCTGTTGTTCGTGAATTTAGTAGGTTCCTAGGCTCTGTGACTAGAGATCCAAAACTTGCACCTTTGAATTATGTTAGTTGGCATAAGGTACCGGAAACTAACTTAAACAAAATGTGGAATTGCATCATGGTAAATTCATAACACTCTTTTATAGTTTATTTTTCTTTATTTGAGATGATTTAGATGAAATGTGTAAAGTTGAGAGTAATTGCTATGTATGTAATACTCATGCAAGAGAAGTATGTGGTTCTCACAGGAGGAAAAAGATGATTTTTCCTACCATAACGATTTGTGGCGTGTTCACAAATCAAAATTGAAGAAAAATCATTATTATAAGTATATTACAAGTAGAGAAAGATGGGCTAATCGGCCAAAGACTGTTCCTAATCAACATTTCTTAGATCTTTTGAATTACTGGGACCTTGAATATGTTGAAGTATGTATAGTATTCGCACTAGGAAGGTAGGGATTAATGACTTCAAAATATAGATTAGAAGTTCATAATTGATTCATTACATTTGTTTTGAAACACTTGAAATTAAGGGGCGTAATTTCATATTATATATGTTTGATTTGAAGTTGTTTTATGAAAATTGTAGGAAGAATTCAATATCAATAGAAAAAATTGCATGAAGCATGATGACCCATACACTTAGGGCCCCATATTAATCGCTTTATTGCGTCATTCAATGGTACTGGTGTTGTGAATTCATCATGTAATTTAAAATCATATTATTCATGCTTATAATTAATTATACACTTCATTTATATATTCACGTTAAGCATATGTGTTAACGGAAACATGAGGATCCCAATAATGAAGAGCCATCTGATTCCACGATGTATAAGGAATCTTGGATTAGATTTGTGGATGGTCAATGTTTGACAAAGGCTTATCCTGGTGCTGAGCAGAATGGGCGCGTATGCCTTCGTGGTTGAGGCGTGATCCAGTCTAAAATGGAGAAAACTAATAATCAGCACTCTAGCTACATAATGCCAAAAGATTTCTTGAAAAGTGTCAAAGCACAGTTAGCTCCGAGCATCAAAGAAGATTTGACACGGGAAGTTGAAAAAGGTGTAGCATCCAAGGTACTATCACAAATAAAGGCAGCTAATCCTGGGATAAATACGAACATTACAGAATTTTGCGTGTCTTCAAAAAACCAATCATCAAGACGTGAGGTAGATCGGTCAAATGGACAATCTTCTGTTGGAGCGCACTCGATATTGAAGGTAATATAGCTTCTCTGCCATGCATTCTATCATGATCAATAATATTTCATTGCATTCTTATAGAGCTTTAATTTACATTTGAACTCACTTGAGTTGCTGAAAGTGTTCTGGAAAGAAAGCCATGCATTCTGTGATGATGTTTACATTTGAAGTGGATTCTTCTATTGAAGTGCATTCTACCACGCACTCAGTTGTTAGGTCTATTTCCTTGCATTCTTATACATCTTTAGTTTACATTTGAATTCACTTAAGTTGCACAAATATTCTATAAAGAAAGCCATACATTTTAATTATTCATTCTAGCTATAAAGGAACGAGTTTGTTTGACCTTTGTTGCAAAGAAAGAATGTATGTACTGTAAAATTCACTTTATAAAAAAGTGCAGAGTGAAACCGCACACTCTGATTTTAGTTCATTTTGTATGTGCTTCAATATGATTACTTTGAATAGTTGTGAGCCGCGAGTGCAATTATAAATCTTATTGTTTTTCAATCTAGCAACGGGCGCAAATACTTCTTCATAATCAATGTCATGTCTTTGGACGTAACCTTTGGCTACTAGTCCTGTCTTGTACTTCTCGACTTCTCCTTTTTCATTTTTCTTGGTCTTAAATACCCACTTCACTCCAATTGCGTGGTAATGTAGCTAGCTCCCATGTTTTATTCTTGGTGGAAATGTAGCTAGCTCCCATGTTTTATTCTTCACAATTGACTTGATCTCATCAACCATTGCATCTCTCCACTTTTTGTTTCTTGTCACTTATTCAAAACTTATTGTCTCACAATCACCAAATAGACAAAAGAGCGTAAGTTCATTATTTCAATTCAAGTTTTGTGTTACCTCGAAACACTCTTCAATGCTTCTCAAGCGTGGTACTTCTCTTTCATCCGAACTTGGTGGGGAAGCTTGAGCTTGAGTGGGAGATAGTGGAGGCGTTATATTTTCATGATTCTCTTCCACTCCTTCTTCATATTCCATGGGAGGTAAGAGACTATGATCTTTTTTGTCATTAATACTCCATTCCCATGAGCCCTCTTCATCAAACTCCACATCACGACTTATAATAAGATTCTTCAAATCTGGACGGTAGAGTTTGTACCCTTTTGAGTGTATCATATCCAATGAATATAAACTTCTTGCTCTTGTCATCGCGTTTTGATCTAGTTTGATAAGGAACATGAGCAAATGCAATACATCCAAATACTCTCAAGTGTGAGACTCCAGGTTTGCATCCATGCCATGCTTCTTGTGGAGTTAGGCTATGTTTGCTATTGCTTAATTTTTTTAAAAGTGATATTGTAAAGTGAGTTTTGAAAAAGCGATTAATGTCAAAAGTTGAGAGTATTTCAGAATAGAAGTGATTATAGTGAAAAAGTTAAAGTTAGAATGTTTGGTAAAAGCGTGATTGTGAAATTATATTTTTCTGAATGTACAAAAATATCCTTCCCTTCATTAATCAGCTCACCTTCCTATCGATCGTAAATATTTCGTATAACCTAACTCTCCCTTGCGACACAACTGTTTCATACGCACAGTCCTCCTCCAGAGCTCCTCGATACAGCCTTTTCGATTCAGGTAAGAATATAATATCTACAACTCTAATTTCGTTTGTATGTGTATTTGAACAACAAAAATGAAACCTAACTCTCTGCTATAAAGATGATGTCGGTTACAGTAGGAGGCCCCACATTATTGCTCTTTATTGGCTATGAAATGTAGGATTATTTTCCAAATTCTAAGTGAAAATAAAAATATGTTTGTAATCTCTCAATTTGTTCATTTCATCCATGGGAGGATATTGTCTTTGACGGGCACTTTTTGGCTGCTTGTAAAATTGTGTTCGATGTGTCGCTGCTTTCCTTTTCTGCCACCGGAATATGAAAAGAAACCCAATTTAGATGATGTATTTTTTTCAAAAGAGGTTTGTAATACCTATAATGTAACACCGTCCCCAATTGTAATTACTTTTAAGATAATAATGTATTGAACCTTATGGAATGATTAATGAATTTACGAAGTTGTAAATTTTTATTAATTCTTTCGCGTGAATAGTAAATTGCACTTGCGGCCCACACCGGGAGCGGGGGCCACCCAATATTCCTGAAACCACATATTTTATTCATCTTGGTCGAGATAATATTTTTATAGTGGTGAGTATTTTATTTGGGCCGAGGAAAAAGCATAGTGTTGACCGAGGCCCAATTACCAGTATTGGTAATTTAATAGATAATAGCCCGAAATGAATTTCGGAGGCTTATAAATCAAAGTTGGGTAATTTATACTCATTATAAAGACCATAATGATTGAGAGCATGTAATATATTTTATTTTACCCGATAAAATAAAATATAATTAAAACAGTCCAAAAAATACAACTTTCGGGGCCACACATCGGGACACAAAGGGATGACCTCCCACATGAATGGGGGACACCCCACGTTTTTGTATGCTCATAGTTAACAAAAGGGAGCTGCATAATGGGAGTGTGTGGTATGGAATAGGTGAGAGTGGAGGGTTGGTGTGAGTATGAGTTGAGGTGGACCTCACCTCCCTCACTCATTGGTCATTTGAGACAAAACCAAGCCTAACAATCCATCCCCACTATCATGCTCGACCAAGACCCAAAGAAAATAGAAAAGGAAGCCCTGCAACTCCATTCTCCATAGCTAAATTCGAGCTCAAGCTTAAGGAAGTCCAAGGAAGAAGATTGAAGAAGGAAAAAACTAGGAAAAAGTGTGAAAATTAAGGTAATAACTTTATCATAACTTTTCCTTTATTTTTTCTTCTATCATATGAGATATATATCATATGAAGAACCCTTATGATTTTTCTACATGATATGAGTGTGGAATAATAGATTGGAAAGTGGTTCAAAGTCCAAGGACGGACTTAAAATCCAAAACGACCGGTTCGCTGGAAAATAACATTTTAGAGGTTATTTGTATTAATATAAGTTTTATGATTATAAAACCTTGTTAGGAACTTGTATAAGTTATTTCAAGAGCTTTCACGGAGTTGAAAGAGTCGCCGGAGTTTGTCAAAAGTCGCCAGAGTTTCGCCGGAGTTCAACCGAGAGGGGTAGAACTTCATAGTGCTAATTCGAGGTGAGGATGACCGACTATATTGCTTATAATTATTGGGTTAATTTCATAAGATTTTCCTAGATGAATAAAAATGTGATTTGCATAGATTATTAATGATTAATAATGACTAAATGAAATTACTATTGATTATAAGTATAGTATGCATAATATACAAATTTATGAATAAATTGTGTATATTTATGTGTTATGAATATGATGGTATGATGGTTGTATTAACCATGAATTTTATTGTGATAAATATACTTTTATTTCATGAGAAGAAGTCATGAAAGCATAAAAATGATATTTTGATATTAAGGCCAAATTACACATGGATGAGGAATTAAATTGAAATGAACAAACGACTAGTATTGAAATATTAGTCGGAAATGTTAGTTGAATAATTGATGGAACTAATCCTAAGAAATTGAATTGTAAGGAATATGTCCTAAGTAGCCTTAAGAGATAATTTAAGGTGGAATTTATGGATAGAGTATAGGCCAAGAAATTGTTTAGATAATTAAACAACGTGACTAGAGTAGGCTCTAGCACGTAGTAGCGGTGATTATGAGCAGGACTCTAGACCGATGTAAATAGCGGTGAGTATGAGCAGGGCTCTAGACCGATGTAAATAGCGGTGATTATGAGCAGGGCTCTAGACCGACGTAAATAGCGGTGATTATGAGCAGGGCTCTAGACCGATGTAAATAGCGGTGATTATGAGCAGGGCTCTAGACCGACGTAAAGGTGACTAAAAGTAGGGCTCTAGCACGGTGAATCGATATTAAATGAACGGGTTAACTATAATGTAATAATACCCTAGATTGAGGGTCTTAGAAGTTGAAACATTGATTATACTTAGTATGTTGTCATTGTACTTTTCAAATGCTTCAAAGTACTGACCTCCCCTTCACGGGGGAGGACACCTCACAGTTTCAGGTAAAACTTGAAGGTTGCTACCATTGCCCATTGCTCGGGAAGATTCAACGAGAAGAGACGTGGTTCGTGCTTCCTCCGTTTCTGTTTTAAAAACAATATGAATAATGTTCATGGATATTATTATTTTTGAATAATTATTTGGGCTTGCATGCCTATGTTGCCAACTGATTTTGAGAGCCGGACTTTTGGGATTCTATTCACATCCACGGGTTCATCTTCTCTACTTCTCCGGTAATCGTTCAAGGGATGATTATCCAGTTCAACTGATTGTGATGAAAGATAAATTTTATCTTCTAGATCTAAGCTTTGAAAGCGAGTCGAGTTGCCATAAGCCCTGAGATTTTCTGGGTTTGTGTGTCTGTGCGCAGTGGAGAAGTGGTTAGGGTGAGTGTTCTTGCGCCTTTTTTGGTAGTTAACGATGCGCCGGCCGTCTGTTGTCTCGCCTGTGGCGAGGTCGTTGAAGGAGTGGCGGTGTGGTTGCGCCTCTTCTCGTCATACCAGATAGTTACGCCCTGCCTCAGTATCATATTTTACCTTCGTCGATTTTAATTTGTTGTTATACCTGGGTTTGTGAAAGCTAGCAGCATAATGGATTGTGCGGTCTCCCTGTTCGCTATGCCTGGGGTGAGGTTTTGCCAACCAGTGCCTGCAATTGTTGTAGCGCCAGGGGTGTGAATTAGGATAGTTGAAACCAAATTCTGTTCTTGGCGCTGCATCTTCATTTCTGGTGAATCTGCTGATTGAGTTTATGGAATGAGGCTTTGTGTAACGGGTTGGTGAAATACCTCTATCGCTGGAGCAGAGAATAACCCCTTGTGTGCAATAGTGATTACCTCTGAGATATGGTTGTGGATTCCGGCTGCTGACTTACTCTAAGGTAAGGTTCTTCGTACCTGGACATGCGTCTGGCGGAGCTATATTCAGGAACTGGATCGGTGAGCTCTCTTGGGCAATAAGCTTCAACATTCAGGCGGATTCAAGCGAAGAGGCGGAACTAAAGGCGTTGATGTTCGCTTCTGAAATGGCGATGGAAAGGGGATATGTTGAGTTTCAGGTGGAAACAGATGTTGAGCTTTCCATTTCCGTCTTGAGGAACAATTTAGTCAGGTATGAAGGGGTTCGAACGTTTAGGCAGAAAGCTCAGGAAGCAGGTCTGAAGTTTGGGCATGTGTATCGGGAGGGTAATAAAGCAGCTCATTATTTGGCGGCCCAGAGTCCACTCCCGGCCCAAATAATGTTCTTTGACCAAGTTAGCCAATTGCCAATTCAGGCCCGTAGGAGTTTTTACGCGGACTTATTTGGTTTCCCTCACTTTCGATTCTAATTTTACACTTATATCTATTGGGTCAGACCTAGCCCCCCCCCCCCCCCCCCCGATAGTCTTTTCATTCTTTTTGCATGTATTTTGAGAAGGAATGCCTTCGCTGGAGAGGTATTGGTATAGCCCCCCTCTTCATCTGTATCTCTGATATTATCAATAAAACAAGGTAACTGACCCCCGACATTTACCCCACTGATTTTGGTGGTTTGCCTTTCCGGGGTAAAAAAAAAAATATATAGGGTAAGGTTCAAGTGAGAAGAACCTTTTAGGTGAGAAGTGAGAATGAATCTCAACCATTGGATTCGACTAAGTTGCAGTAAAAGACACTTCATGATGTACTGAAATATACAATCTAGCACGGTGGCATTTCTGTAAATACTTCTGAAAAATCTGTGTTACACTTATCTAGTGCAACATGAAGCTATTTCGGTGCAACGCCGTCAAATATTAGTGCAACATGAAACATTTTAAGTGCAACATTGCAAAATTTAAAGATTACTGCAACATAAAGCCATTTTAGTGCAACTTCGGAAATCTAATGGCTGAGATTCATTCTCATTTCTCACATTAGATGCATTTCTCACTTGAACCAAAATCTATATATATATATATATATAGATTTTGGTTCAAATGAGAACACTCCTTAATGTGAGAAGTAAGAACAAATCACAACCATCCAAATATCATATTCATCTGCGATCAATTAAAGGGCATTTTCGTATAACACAAATCGGCATTTTTGTAACGGAAGATGTCAGTTACGTTAATACGTGCATCCATTTTACTAAAACGCATATCTCACGCAATTTTACTTAAATTCCAATTCCTATTAAATATTGAATTTTATATTTTCACGTGACTTTACTTGCGCAATGATAGAAATTGTTGCTTTTTCTTGGGGATTGTACGTTATTGCTTCATCTTTGTTTTTTATTATTTATAATTTCATTCCTTTTTTTTTTATTTTGCTTCATCGATCTTTGTTCTTTTGCTTCATCGATCTTTGTTCTTCATTTAATGTTTATCGTTCTTTTTTTGCTTCTTCTACATATTAATTTTCGTTTTATTTAATCACTACTACATCAATTTTATATTGCTCCAATGTAATTATCATAATTCATAATATCTTAATCACTACTACAACAATCTGGTGCAAGTGATTACAACTACTATCTCACTTATTATTAAACAATCAAGCACTACTCGCACTACTATGTAATTTAAATGCACATTTACACTTGTATTTCACTTTCTCTATAATAGTTGCACATTCATGGTTTTCATATGTTCAACATACTTTACGCCTTAACATGTGCATATTTTGCTCACTCATATGCACCCGTAATAATCACTACTGCACTATTATATAACGCAAATGCACTATTCGGTGTTGTGTGTTAGATATCAGTTCTTGTGCATGATGTATTAGTTGTGATTCTCTATGTCCATATTATATGCTAGATATTAGTTCTCTAACGTATATACGTATTGTGCTACTTTTTGTGATTCAGATACTTCTTTTTGTGATTGGGATACTTGTTTCGGTGCTTTATATGCAAAACTATTTGTGAGGTACTACTTTTCGTGTGCATTAGATATTGGTTGTCGTGTATTAAATACATATTCTTGTGTGTGTGATAGCTGGGAATGCTTGTGTGGTTTGTTGTACACATATGATACTTATTTTTTTAAAAAAATTATATATGCTATATTGGTGTCATATGAAAGGCAAAAAAAAGTTATTTAATTTGATATAATTTTTTATAAAATTGGATTATAATTTTAAAAGTTAAATCAATTTTAAACTAAACACATTTCATATGATTCAAGATTTTATTTCTACCTATATTTTTGGAAAGTGGTTGCCTACACTCGTTACTATATTAAATGAATTTTATAACATTACTCTAATGCCCTTTGTTAGTTACACGTTCCCCTTCCCATTTGTAGAAGACATATTACTATGTTGGCACGTGCATCATTGTATTGTGAGTCAATTAATTAATGGTCGTTCATTCACTGAGATGGTGGATTAGGATGTGTTCTCATTTCTCACAATAAGGAGTGTTCTCATTAGAACCACTCCCTATATATATATATATATATATATATATATATGTATATATGTATGTATATATATATTGGTTCAAATGAGAACAAGTCTTATTGTGAGAAATAAGAACAAATCACAACCATTGAAAACATATGTGGATCTACGATCAAGTAAAGGGAAATCAAGGGTATTTTGGTATTATATTAATTGGCTGGTTTTGTAACCGATCATGTCATTTAATAGATTCGTACGATCTACTAATGGAAACATTAAATTTTAGTATTACACTTTGTTCATATATGGAAATTTTAAATGTTGCAAATTAAATGAAATTTCGTTAGTGGGAAATTCCTACGTGGTGACTTATTCATTTTTATTTAATTCTTAGGAGAGGATAGTTATTATCCAATCATCTTTCCCTTTAATTAATATTCACCATATCATAAATATATTTTTCAAGACATAATTTCATTTTTATGTTACTTACAACATGTGTGTTGGATATCAATTCATGTGCATTACAAAAATGAGGTTCTGTGTTGGATACATGTTCGTGTGAGTTACATATTCAAAGTTGTGTGTTAGATACTGATTCTTGTGCATTGCATAATTGTCGTGGGAGTATATATGTACTGTGTGTTAGATACTATTTCATGTGCGTTAGATACTGACTAATGTGATTGAGAGATTTGTTCTAGTGTTATATATATATATATATATATATATATATATATATATATATATATATATATATATATATATATATATATATATATATATATATATATATATATATATTGGTTCAGGTGAGAAATGCATCTAATGTGAGAAATGAGAATAAATCTCAGCCATTGGATTTACGAAGTTGCACTAAAATTGGCTTTATGTTGCAGTAGTATTTAAATTTTGCACATGTTACACTAAAACTGTTTCATGTTGCACTAATATTTGATGGCGTTGCACCGAAATAGCTTCATGTTGCACTAGACACGTGTAATACGGATTTTTCAGAAGTATTTACAGAAATGCCACCGTGCTAGATTGCATATTTCAGTGCATCATGAAGTGTCTTTTAGTGCAACTTAGTCGAATCCAATGGCTGAGATTCATTCTCATTTCTCACCCAAAGGGTTCTTCTCACTTGAACCTTTTAGTGCTATATATATATATATATATATATATATATATATATATATATATATATATATATATATATATATATATATATATATATATATATATATATATATATATATATATATATATATATATATATATATTTGTGTGAGATACTACGTTTTGTGTGCATTAGATATTAGCGATTGTGTGTTAGATATTGCTTCTTTAAAATCACAAAATCAAATTTGTGTACCCGAAATCAATTACTTATTTCCATATTTGAATTGACTTATTTTTGTTAGTCTATTAACTTCTCTACCTTTTATGAATGTGATTATTTTAATGACCATTTCACCCTTTAATATTTCCAAGTTCCCTATTATGAAGTGTACGAGAGGTGTGTTGTGTGATAAAGTGCATGTTACTTATTGTGCACCAATACGTTAATAGCCATTCATTTAATGAGATGGTTGGTTAGGATTTGTTCTCACTTCTCACAATAAGGAGTGTTCTCATTGGAACCACTCCATATATATATATATATATATATATATATATATATATATATATATATATATATATATATATATATATATATATATATATATATATATATATATATATATATTTTGGTTCAGGTGAGAAATGCATCTAATGTGAGAAATGAGAATGAATCTCAGTCATTGGATTTACGAAGTTGCACTAAAATTGGCTTTATGTTGCAGTAATATTTTAATTTTGCACATGTTGCACTAAAACTGTTTCATGTTGCAGTAATATTTGACGGCGTTGCACCGAAATAGCTTCATGTTGCACTAGACACGTGTAATACAGAATTTTCAGAAGTATTTACAAAAATGCCACCGTGCTAGATTGCATATTTCAGTGCATCATGAAGTGTCTTTTACTGCAACTTAGTCGAATCCAATGGCTTAGATTCATTCTCATTTCTCACCCAAAGGGTTCTTCTCACTTGAACCTTACCCTATATATATATATATATATTGCCCGATAAATAGGTTTTTATTAATGAGGAAGTCAAAAATTACAAGAAAGGGAAGAAGAAAAACAAGAAGAAAGAAAAAGAAAAAACTCAACCCAAAGTACAACATATAATCCCTCCCAAGATCACCCCTAGCCTTAGTCTTCAAAACTCCATTCGAGTTTGGGATCTAGTTCTCATAAGATGTGACTGCTGCTTCGTTTTTTTATATATCTTAATTTGAGTGTTCAAGTTTTAATTTCTATAGGGAGACAGTTTTCTCTTGTAACCAATAAGGCTTTGTTGCAAATATCCTGATTCGTATCAGAATCCCATAAATCCTTCATCGATGAAATATGAATCCTTTTCCCATTTTTTAAAGTGTGACCAAGAAAATCATCCCTCGAGTGTGTAAAGAACTGCTCATAAGCTTCACTATCTTGGTCATTTGAAAAAAAGTCCCTTGAAAAATTCGGGTTCGCATATCGTGTATCCTTTTCTTCATGAACAAGTCCCTCATCAAATAATTTTTTGAAGATAACTGCTCCAACTTAAACATATAAAACACAGTTATGTTTCAAAAAATTATTTGACTGCCTTCCCGATCGAATTTTTAGCTGAAATTTTTTGTGGATAAACTAGACTTGATGAGGAACATTCCATAAAAATTTCATCAAAAAACTCCACCGGGAACCGCCCCAAACGGCGGCGGCCGGACGGAGGATCCTGTCCATCCGGCTGGACAGGATCTTTTCCGTATATATATATATATATATATATATATATATATATATATATATATATATATATATATATATATATAGAGTGCTCTTCATGTCAGGCCGGCCTGACGGGCTGCCCCGTCCGGCCGAGCAAGTTTGGGCACCTTCCCGGTGGAATTTTTTGATGAAATTTTTTGAGCATGTTCTTCATCAAGTCTAGTTTGTCCATACCAAATTTCAGCTCAAAATTCGATCGGGAAGGTCGTCAAATGATTTTTGCAAGTTAACTGGTCCGGAAAATACATATTCCGGACCAGTTAACTTGCAAAAATCATTTGACG